GCAAACAGAGGTAAAGTATTTATAACAAATCTGTGTTTCAGAATGCCATTAAGAAAAATAACATTTTTGAAAAATGTGAAACAAGGAGGGTTTTTCAAAATGTGGTTTTTAAAAAAAAAAAATAAGAAAGATACAGAGAGTATGGTCTCAGATATATAAAAAGTTGATCTATCTATTCACATATAATTATTTTTCTAATCAGGAAAAAACTTTGAGACTAGTGGAAAAGACTTCGCAGAAGTTGAAATAGGACCCCTCCCCCTGCCCACTTTAGTAGATGAAATGGGGCTATTTCTTCCCCTGAACTAGAGTTAATTAAGAAAATGAAAGTTTTTTGAAAAGAAGAAACATACATAGCCTGTTCCTAGGGGATAATATTCTTAGCATCATTTTGTCCTTTATACATTGTATTATATCCAAAAGATTGGGGGTAGGATAAACAGCTGTACAATGTCAGGTTTTGAAAGTGTTGCTGTAGAGACATCTGTTCCACTGTTTCCCAAAGAGGTTCTCTATGGCATCTGTTCCACAGGACATTATGCTTGTTGCTTGGAAAACACAGCATTTTGTGCCAAATGAGTTTAGGTAATAATACCAAATCTCATTGCCTCTAAGACACTATTTTTAGTAAGAGACACCATATTTGATGCCAAGATTAGACTACATGGGGAATCTAACATTCTTATAAAGCTAAGACAGCAAAGGACTGAATCCGTAGTGTGAGAGTTAATAAACACATCTTCCTGTAGAAAGAGACTACAAGAAAACATGCCTGTGTCAACCTTGGCACTAGCTGAAGGGGAGAGACTGAAAATTTGAGCCACAGATGTTATTCACTAGAGTTTTCATTTCAAATTCAAAAACTCCTGGAATAGAGAAAGAGATGGCAGTGTCCCCAGGGAACTGGCAGAAACCACACAAATGCTCTCTGAAAGAAAACAACTTCAGGAGTGATGTCATCAAAATGCCAACATAGGTTATTCCAGCTGCAGTCCCCCTCACAAGAAGACCAGCTGGCAACTATCCACAGAGAAGACATCATTGTGAAAAGCCCAGAACTGGGGGGTAAGGATGAAGTACCCCTCTGGACCACAAGATGGAAAAGGACCACATGAGAAGGGGAAGGGGAACAGCTAGGCTGTGACCACATTACTCCCCTACCAGCACTGCACCAGGAGGGCCACTTTGGGCCTGTGGCTTTTCCGGCGGCATAAAGAGAGCCCAAGGTGGGCATCCAGCTCCCCCAGCATTGCTGGACACTTCCTGGGAGACACCCTCAGGTCTTCCCATATGGGGATCACTTGGGAAATCTGTAGGGCTCAACCACTGAGAATCAGACAGAAACAGAGAAGTGGGGTGGGTTTACAGCAACCAGCATTCAGATCTTGGTGGACCAAATTCCTATTTGCATTATTGGTGGAGCAGAGATCCAAGCCAGGGGTTCTGCCCACCCACAGAACCGAGGCAGTGTCCTGTGTGGCCAGGGACCTTGGTCGTCAATTCTGATTTGGGCACTCAGCCAAAGAGTTGTATGTACCATGGAGCCAGTTCTTTGGCCCTGCCTGAACAGGGATGAAAATTTGCTGCCCCACCAATTGCTGAGTGTAACTTCTAGTCCTACCCCACCAGGAAGCCCAGCTGGAGAACCTGTGCAGCCACAGAGCCCACTCTCCAGCCTTGCTTATGCAAGGACCCAAGTCAACATCCCTGTCCACATGTTAAACATAGCCTCTGGCCCTGCATAACCAGGAGCCCTAAACAGTGGCCCTGGGTTGCCTCAAAGCCCTGTCTATGGTATCACCCAGACAGGGAACCTAGCCTACAGTCCCACCCTGCAGCACAGCCCACCCTACAGAACTGTCAAATTGCAGAACACAGCCTGTAGCATTTTTCCCATCCTCCACCAGATACCACAGTCTGACACAGACCAGGGGCTAAATAAATATTCATGGAGTGAATGAAAGTCTTCAATAGTGGAATCAAGGCATCTGTTCAGTAAGTATAAGCCTGAGTCCCAGTTTGATCAAATCATCATAAAAATTAAGGCAAGATGGATAGCAGTCCAGAACTCCCACTCAGGAGCCCAGCTGGTTTTATAAGGTTAATGTCCCCCTGCCTAAAGAGGATGTGCTCTGCCCTATTTAAATCAGTCAAGACCCATTATGTCTTTCCTATATGAAGCAATATATAAATAATTAAGAAATGTATCAGTTATGGCCCAATTAACTATCATATCATATTAATACCAACTCAACTGAAAAAACATTATTCTAATTTCTGAAATAAATGCCATACCACACTGAAATCTTAAGATACTGAGCACCTTCCCCACAGTGCTGGTCAGGCTGCACTCATTTACACAGAGCAGATGCGGGGCCAGCGGAGATGGCCCTTGGTGCAGACAGAGTAAGTGGCAACCTACAGGAGTGACTGGAGGCTGGGGCTGCCTCTCCTTGCTGCGCCTGTCTCAAGCACAAGACTGGGCTCCAGAAACACCTGACAACATGAAATGATGGGATGCCTTCTATATGCCAGGTGCCATTCAAGATTATGGGTTGTATAGATGGTTCAGATGTTCTTCCTTTCCCCAAGGAGCTTATAGTTCAGCTAGATAAAATCATAATGACTTGGTAAATTGAGAAAACAATGCTCTACCCTGACATAGGCACCCCTTCTCCCCTTGATTCTGTCTTAGTGCATATTTAAGGATATTTGGCTTTGACAGGACAGGGAAGGAGATTCCTAGACCCCTGGAAAAATTCCATCGTGGGGGATATGCTGTTTGCTTAACTGCCTGCTCTACCTCAGAAAAGAAGGAATAGACCATGGACTCCCACCCCCACACCATCCCCTAAAAAAGTCAGCAGATTGGATTTCACTCTGGGCTTTGGATTCAAGGAAGCATACTTTCAGATTGTCTTCTGTATTGGCCGTTCTAAGAGTACGGTCCCCCTTTGCAACATCAGCAGCTCCAGGGAACTTGTTAGACATGCAAGGTCTACGTCAGATCTACTGAATCAGAAACTCTGGTGTGGCTCAGGGAGTTGCTCTTTAAAAGTCCTGCAAGTGATGCTCATGCATGTTAAAGCTTGAGAACCATTGGTCCAGCCCAACTCACCAGCATTGGAAAGAACACAGAGAGGGTAAGGCAGGCCTAACAATGGATTCAAATGAAGACTGTGCATTTAACGAGAGTTTTCAGTGTAAAAGTTTTTAAAAAAAGAAAAAAAGGAGGAGGAGGAGGAGGAGGAAAGAAAGGAGAACAGAAAAAGAAACATGCTAAGTTAAATCAAACAGTCAAGAAACCTAATCATAGACAGCTGTGTGTTTCATAGCTGAGTTTAGCCATCAAATACTCATGTCTTTGGAGCAATCATGTTCTCCCTTGTTGTTCTCTTTTAAAGTGTAAATAATGGTGAGAGGATGAAAACCTAGTCGCTTAACATTTGACTCTAACCAATTTTATCAGATCCTGAAAGCAGAGCAGAAAATCACCTAAATGTAGAGGTTAGAAGTCCGTGAGTATTAGATTCAACTTCACAGTTTTAACAAAGACAACTTTGGCAGTAAACCTGCCTATCCATGTGGTGTATCTGTAATTGCAAATTATTAACCACTTTTCAGTGTCCTAAGAGGTCTAAATGAGAGTTGAGGTATTCCTTCATAGTCTTGTGATTTTTCAAAAGCCCCCAACCTTTGCAATAGGCTTAGCACACTGGAACTCTTAGACACACTGCTTAGCAAATAACCTTGCTTCTATATTATATGGAAGAAAATAATCAACTAAGAAAGCACAGGTCACATTCCCCCACACCTGTCTCTATTGAACAACCGTGGCATTGTGAGCAGGTAAATATCCCCACCCCATGCCTTCTCTGAAGCAGCACTAAGAAAGCTTATTTCTGAGAAGCTAAAACCAAGACTTCATTTTAACTTCATCTAGAGATACAAAAAGTATCAACCAAAACATCAACACCATCTGCTTTTAGTTCTGGGTGTGTTATCCTTAAAAGAGAAAATTAAGAATGGGTTCCTGGATGTCTCCCTTCAAAAATCTCAGCTTCTCAGGAAAAAGGAAAAATGTACGTAAGCTATTCTCATTCCCAAAAGGATTCATCAATTTCCTTTGGCACGTTTAAGATACAAAATGCTAAGATTTAATTCATACTCAGTTTTTGTGGAGTAAAATTATTTTTAAAATTAGCTTCATACATATCAGTGACATGGGTGATAAAATTCAAGAAGGAAGGATGATTGAAATCTCTACTGAGAATTATGGTTACAATTTCATACTCAGTCTTTTTATTTTGTTGTTGTTCAATATATTAATGCCATTTTTTATTCAGAAATATATTTAAATGATATAGGATTTATAGTTCACAGTTGATACCCAGAGTCAAAACTTTCCTGTTATATAAGATATGAGCTCAAATAACTATCTTTTAAGAAGGATATGAGTAGATATAAAATAGCCTTAATTTATGAAGCTGCTAATTTTTCTTCCTTCTTACCAACATCTTCTATTTTTTCAATTTTTAGCTGATGAATTGCTGTCAAAACAGCTTTGATGTCAGTGTAAGTCTCCCTGACTTACAGCATATTTACTCTCAGCCCAGACACAGTGTGTTGGGTGAGTGACCATCTTCCCAAGAGAGATACATCAACATTTCTTGTTAACATTTCTCAGACTTCTGTTCTGAATTAAAACTCTACATCAGGCTTACCTGTCATCATACCAAAACATTTCAATTAAAGCTTAAAAATGCACAGGGAGAAATATTCATTGGTTACTTATATAAATAATAAAAATGAGTAAAATTCCAGCTAAATGTATACTCTTCTTAGGTTCAAAGCTCAAGTCAACTATAAATTACACAATTGTCATACTGTAACTTGTATCAGACATAAAAATGTTCCCATTTATTAGTAAAGAACCACGAATAACAGGCATTTGCAAACAGGGGATCTTATAAAAGAAAGAAAGGTGTTTTTTTACCTACCTGGGCTGAGAAACCACAGAAGAAACCATACCAGAAATGCACAAGTGTGAATGCAAAATTCTTATAGAAAAAATAGCATAAGAATTTGCACATTCGGAAATAGGACCATCTTCCGTGAACAAGGAGAAGTCTTTGGAGGTATCTAAATTGTGCAAATGAATAATCACTGGCCAAGACTGCCTGCAGTCCTTCCTGGCCGCTGATGCCAACACCAATGTGAGCACCTACAAAGGAAAACAGGGGTACTTTTATTCCCCCGAACATACTATCTATTTTAGGTTATTTATTTACAGAAAGTTTACAGCTATAGCATTTATAATTTTTCACACATATTATCTCATGAAACACTCCAGTTGTTAGGTATTTTATGAAAGAGGAAATCGGCCCAGGAAAGTTCAGTAATTGCACAAGGTTTTACAATGTGTAAGTGGGAAAGCTGGGACTGAATCCAAGGGCTGGGAGAGTGGGTCCAGTGTTCATTGTACTACGCCACAGCTACTCACTTCTCCAACAATCTAACCAATTGACATTTCCAGCTTATACATATACAGGTGATTTAATTAGAGACAAAGGTTTTTTTAATGAATGATAATAATGTTGGAAGCATTGGACCCAGAAAATATTCATTTTAAAGGGAAAACTAAATTGCCGTGCAATCTCCGTTACGTATTGCCAAATGCTGAACCTGAGGAATCAGGTCTGCAGCATGCCCCACTGAATGAATGTCCTCTTACTTTTGATCATGCTGACATCATTGGCTCCATCACCAATGGCCAAAGTGACAGCATTTCTGTGCTTCTTCACCAGCTCTACTACTTGGGCTTTCTGGAGTGGGGTGACTCGGCAGCAAACCACAGCTTTGCACAGGCAGGCGAGTTCTAAGAGATCGTCCTTCACATCACTTTCCAGGGCATGAGCCTGTGTTATTGGAAAAAAAAAATCCAGGATACGGCAAGAAATAATAATTGAGAGATCTCATTTGGGAGGCAGATTTCTTGTTTCTCAGCTGATTTCTTTCCTAAGCAGTTTAACTCACTTCTACAAGTCACTGTTGATTCATGGTCACACAAACAACAGCTGACTAAAGAGTATTGAACTCTTCCCACATCCAAGGAATTTTAGAGTAAAAAGAAAAGACACAGCACTCTCGTGTATCCTCCTTGTCACATTATCATGCTATATTGGAGAGAGACAGTGAAATGCCAGAGAAGTTCCAGAATCTGATAAAATAAGAAGCAAAAACCAGAACCTAACTGCCGCCTCACCATGTTTAGAATGAACTACGAAATGACGGTGATTTGTTTGTTCTACCTCATGGAATTGTTGTTCTCTTTGCATTGGGTTGTTTTGTGGGTTCAATGTTGGTTGTCGTGGTTGTTATTGCACAAGCAAATGAGAAGCAGATGCTCTGGAGAGTAGCCCTTGAAGAACACAGTGACTGAAATCAAGAGTCCCATGCAAAAGGTTGGCATGCAACCTGTGTCTCAGACAAGGTTCCCCAACCACTTCCACCCTTGCTCTTCTCCAAATACAGAATAGCCTTTAGACATGGCAATAAATGACTGAAAAAGAGAGAATAATCCTTTGAAATTAACTGTGCAATTTTTTTCTAGGAAATATCTCAATGTATATTATTTAATAAACCCATTGAGAGGAAATAGAAATCCAGCTGAACGTTGAATCATCCGTATCTTGAATGAATCTTTAGCAAGATATTCACAGCCCATCACAATCTAGCTCCTATATTCCTTTGAGTTCTGGGTTTGACAACACCTTTAATTTTTTTACTTTTTTATTTCCATCAAGCCAAATAGCTTGTGCTGTATATTCATAGGTTCTTGCCTTTGTGCCTTTGCACTTGCTGTATCTCTACCTGAAAACATCACTTTCTCCAGGAAGTCTTCCCTGACTTTCCCACAAGGAACTAAATGGGCCTGCCTCTTTGCAGAATATAATTGGGTCTTTTTTTCTCAGAGTCTGAGTTTAGGTTTTCAGGTGTTGATAATAAAGAAAAAAGAAAAGAGAAAAGGAGCCTTCTGGGCAAGACAGCCAGTTACATGCTTTCTCTTTCAGAAAAGGCAATTATATTTGAGAATACTAGCTCAAAATTTCCACAGAAAATGTAAACCTTGTCATGAGAATTTTGTACATCAGAGTCATGTTTTTATACTCATTCGCCCATCCCTCCATTTATACCATTTATTATTTATTGTCTCATTTATAGTTATTAATATTTAGACAGCACACCCAAGTCATGGTGCTGGAGGCAAAGAATAAGGAAGCGATAATGGTCCTTGTTCCATGGATTGCCATCTGGTGGAGAAGCTAATCTGACAGTGGTATGACAAGTGTTACAAAGAGGCATGAGCATAGCTTTGAGTGCCCAGAGGCAGACACCTTTGGTTCAAGATTTGAGCAAACTGGAATCACGATTTCTTTGTGTTTTTCTTTCAGCTTCTGACCATTGTAGCAGAAACATGGTTAGTTCTCCTTAAATGAAAAATAACATTTCATGGTTTCATAAGTTTCAGGCATTGAAGCTAGAGGGGTTCTTGAAAAGCATCTATCATAGCTTTCTTCCAGCAGATTTAGAGACGAAGAGAGAATAATATATATTACTACCTGATTGCTCTAACCCACTATAGATTGGCTTCTTTGAGCCTGAGGGAAAGTCAAAGCACAACTCATCAAGGACCCTTCCTATTTGGTCCCTGGGCAATTTCCTCTTGGAGGCCACCAGCTCCAAGTTCCAGCTGACAGGCTTAACATTTTCAGTTACTACTCATTTTTGCAAGGGAGACGTTCGTGTCATCTGGACAAACTTTCAGCTGAGCTGGCCTGCAGCTGAGCGCTGTAACTTTCCACAGGGTAGAAGGCAACACATCGTCAAGCCTGGAATCCAGCTGGCTGCTGCTCTAAGTGACAGGAGCTAGCAGACAGATGGTCACAGAGGGGAAAATACAATATGCGCATATGCAACTCCTTTTGTTGTCTAAGAAACTGTCTACAAGAAGATACACTTATTTTCTAAACTCCACAAGTGAAAAATGATCATCAAAGCCAGAGAAAGATGTGAGATTAGCTCTTGGTGCAAGTAACGCATATAATTTCAATGGAGTGTAATCAGAGCTTTTGTTTTCTAAATTAGAAAGAAACTCAGGAAAGTGTTTTGATATTTGTTCAACATTTGGATCCTAAACTATATTAAAAGTACAATGCAAGTTTATTCTATTATGACAAGGACCAGATTTCCTAATCAAAGCAAATTGTTTGGCATTGCTGTAAAATGTGGCTATTTAGTAAATACACCAGAGGTATCTTAATGGCAATAATTTGGTGTGGTAATTACATGAAGATCAGGTTGTGCTCTGTAAATCATTAACATTAGCAAGAGCAATAACTGTAATACATCTATCTAGTTGCCTTACTTTCATTAAATAGCAGTGAGCTGTGACACTCTCCCTTAGAAAGGCACTGTTAAATGGTCTACAGTCATTAAACAAGATTGATATTCTGTGAATACAGTATTTCTTCGGCTCCTCCCCTTTACTGTGGTGGTTCAAGCAATAATGAGTGAAATATATATTAGAAGTTTCCTTTCCCCTTCTAGACAGGAAATCATTGTGTCTGCTGCTTCTAGTGGTGTCATTTGTTTGGAAAACACAGACAGAGATCCCATTAAGACAGCACCACAGAGATAATCACTGGGTGAAGAAAAAAGAAAGAACAAAAGCCTTAAGCTAACTCACCAAACTGTGGCCATTTATGATTAAGGCATAATCTCCTGTTACAGTTTCTTCAACAACTGAGTCCAACTCCAGCTGCTGTTTTTTTTCAAAAACTGCATGGCCATTGGAAAAACTTCTGTTTTGTCCATACAAATTTTCCTTCGCTTTCCTTAATGGAGAGGAGGGACAGTAAATCACAAAAAAGCACACAGAGCATACCTATTGACTCTACCAAGAAACTAGCCTAGAGGTAAATTCCTTTTGTCACTATTCAGATTATGGCATGAGATTCAGTTACAGTTAAGTAAACTGGATAATTCTTTGTGATGGGGATACCATAGCAAATTTGCAGGTTCCAGGAGGTAGGAGGGTAAACCTAATGAAACAAGAGTCATTTTGAATGTTTTAAATTGCCCACATGCTACATCACCAATTTGAGATGGGCTTGAACTACAGGCTCTTGATAAATTTGGTTATAAGGCTGTCTGAGCCTCAAGGACTTAAGAGCAATGGAGCTGGCATGTGATATTGTTAGATAACGGAAAGAAAAAGACTAAAGACAATGGGTGAAATCTTCTAGGAAATCCAGGGCATCTCTGTATAAAATAAATTTATCAATTTGCAGAACAATGTAATATGATCCATCTTAAAACAGCAGTCTTCTAAGAGGCATATTTTAAATGCTTTTGACAATAAAAACAAATGATGGCATTTACTGAATTGGCATAGTCATAATATAAAGGGGTATTTTAACTGAAAATTGTACTCATTAGTTCAAACAATAGAATAAATCTTCTAGGAAAGAAATTACAGACACCAAAGTGTGGAGGGCCATTCCAAACTGGAACTCCCTCTGATGTCCCATCTAATTAGCAGTAGAATAATCCTGCCCACATCCATCCTTCTCTACTGTTTAAGATGCATGGATATTTAATACCCTTAGAAGTGGCATTTCATTCTTCTCTACAAAATGGAAATGATTCCTTTAAAGGAAGGGAAACTTCCTTTTTGAGGACCCCGGGATGACAGGCTTTGAAATAAGGTAGGGCAAGCTGAAATGACTAGAGCTCTCAGCCACAACCAGAGAGCCACATAGTAGATGCTCCCTGCAGATAATGCCAAAGCCGGACCCCAACGCTTTAGGGCACAACTTTCATATACAAAAATGAGTGCCCAGGAGAAAATGGGAAGTGAGAGATGGGCCAGAAAATGGATGTTTTGGCTTACAGCAAAATGAAATTGTTCCCCAATGTCTCATTCTATGTAGAAAACATTCATTAAAATTGTTTTAGGCTGTAACAAGAAGAGAATGTTCACTGTACAAAAACAATCATTTGAGCCCTCAGCTTCCTATTATTTGAAAATGTACTACTAATTGTTTACATGCTGAGTTTGAAAAAAAAAAAACAGTAAAGAAAATACCCTTATCTTTTGACTCAACATCTCCTTCTACTGTCTGGGACCAAAATCACAGTCTGCATTGAGAACCCAAGACCCCCAGAGGTTACATGCCCCTGGCTCCAAGGATGATACCATGCATTTAGCGATCCGTTTGCAGAATCAAAGATTTATAAAGTCACAGCGCAACGTGTGAAATATAGGGAGTTAGAGTAGGTAAGGGGAGGAAGAAAACACATGAAAAATCATTGTTTTAAGTGGGAGGATCAGACTTTTGCATCAGATAATCATGTCAGTGAATCCTCCTCACAGTCATGAAAATTTACAGTTCCATGGGATGAAGAAAGCTAGCGAGACAAGTTCCTCAGAAATGAACATTTTTCTGACAATATTGCAGTGCTTATAAATTGGGTCTTAGGAAAGCACCAAAGGGCAAACATCTCCTGAGGTTTCCATTTTAGTATAGTTCTCGCTTGCTGTATAAATGACTCAATCTCTGTTTTCTCCCTAGAGAATGAAAACATTCCAAACAAGGGTGAAGTTAATGAAAGTATTGGCTGAAATTCTATTTACTTAGGATTTTTCCCCCTAAACTGTCCTCCTAACATCCCACATGTTAGAAAAAAATCCTTTCCCAAGCAGAAAAGGACAGTTTTGCCAGCCCTGCTTAAATTCCCACTGCACTCCCTCCACACAGGCCAACCCTCCTCGACAGATTGGGCTAATGTGTTTTCAGACCTTTACCCATGTAGCTGTCATTTCTTTTTCTTCCTGGAATGAATTTAGCTCTTCAAACATCAGCTAGTTCTCCCAAAACCAATTTATTAGAGGAGGGAAAGTTACACAAACTCCCTTCAATGATATGAACTATACTTATGTTTTTGCAAGCATAACACAAAATGCTTAAACACAAAACGCAAATAACAAATGCAAAAACAAAAGAATGCCTATTTTCCCCAAGCTTTGTAATGAAGGGCAGTCTGTTACAACATTGGCATGCAGAAATGCATTAATGGTTGAGGCAGGCGTGGCATTCACAGCCACAAACACAGCATAGCACAGTTACACCCACATTGGCTTGCACGCAATCTATAAAGAAGAGACGGTAGGAAAGAGAATCATTCTGTCTGTGGTCTTAAGGCACTATATGTTCAGTTAAGTGGGCCTGTTAGAAATGGATTGAAACCATGACATCATGTTTAAAAGAAGACAATCTTGACTTTGAGGTAAGAGCGCTGGGCTTAGAACCTGGAGACCTACGATCAGGCTTGAGGTCTGTCTGACATCTTATGGACCCATAGTTAAGTCATCTGACCTCTAGTCACTTGATTAACCAGTTACAGACACAGGCTAGAACCCAGGTCTTCAAATTCTCCCATAATTCTTGGTCTACCACACCAGACTGGTGCCTCTAGGTTGGGACAAAAGTGCTACAGACTGCCTCTAGGTTGGGAGAAAGACACAGTGCCAGAGAAACAGTTAAGGGACAGCACCACCCTGACAGAGGAGAAAAAGGAAGAGAGTACATCAAATTCTGATTTCAAGCCCCAGTTCCATCCCTTACTACCAGTGTAACCTGTAAGACATTCAACCCCTGAACCGGTTTCTTTATGAGAAATCAGTAGAATGAGACCAGCCATTCAGACTGGTTGATAATCAGCTATGAAAACTTGGGCAGCTGCACCAGTATATACTAGATCTCTAAGATGTCTGAATGCTCTAAAACTTCATGAACCTATTACACATTTTTCCTGGGTGACTAGAAGTTGGGAATTAGAAACAAGATGTGTTTCATCTGCACAGTGTTTTTAAAAATCCATACGAGTTTAAGGACACATGGTGCTCACCTTCACCAAAGGTCACCACTCCCTAATGTCGTATATATAGCCCATATCATGCAGCTATTTCCTGCCTGGCTCTGGAGTCATTTGAGACCCCTGTTCATTCAAACAAATAACTTTCCAACAAGTAAGTGTTCAAAAAAATTCCAACGTGCATTTTGTTGTTTAAAGAGAAGGTATCAGTTCCTAAGTATATCACTCAATACTTCTCAGAAGAAGGAATCACTTCAAGATTTAATTAAGTTATAGGACATGAATTTTTCTAACAATAAAATACAATTGCAACAAAACTGAAACATGGGATGAATTTGCCTGTCTGCCCAAGCAAAATTACATTCTCAGTCTGCTATCCTTTGAGCAGAAGACGTATGTATTGGTAAAACGTAATCCATGCAGTAATCTTCTGAAAAGCCATAGCAGGGTTTAATTTTAGATTTCTAGGCATGTCCTTAATATTAAAGTAGTTACAGCCACAAAATTAACCCAGCACTCAAAGTATCTAAAATGGTTCATGATACTAAATTTGAAACAAGCTATATGCATGATATATATGAAAATTACATATCCATGTTTATGAAATAATCTAAACACATTTGATAGGTTTAAGTACTAGCATTTAGATCATTTCCTTCCAATAGCTACTGTCACTTGGATCCTGTTCCTTTGATACACTGCTGTTTGCATGAACTCCCACTGAACTCAAAAGCACACAGGAAAACTAAATGGTGCAAATTTATGATTTCAATATTTCATCCCTAAAACTATGGATTTACCTATAAGTAGTCAAGATTAGGATTAGAGAGAGGATCTTCAGCAATAGCTTTTTGGATGCTCTTTTCCCTAATACTAATTTAAGCAAGTGGTACTATAAATGTATTGATTCCTCCTACACAGAATTTTCTACCATGCATTGCCTCTCAGTCTTAGACTCTAAGGATGGGGTTAACTCCAAATCTGGGTTGAAATAAACATTATTTGTTCAGTGACTAAGCAAAGTGGCCACAAGGATCTTGAAATAATTAGTCTAGATGGAAATCCTTTATATTTTTCCTTGTGAATACTTTTTCTTCTCATTAAAAAAATGAAGACAATTTTTAGCTTTTTTTCTAATTATGAAAGCATTGCATGAGCACTACTACAACTTCAGATAATATGAAGAGCCATACAGAAAGAAGCAAATATGATCCATAATTCCATCACCCAGAAAGAACTATTATGTATGTCCTCCAGAGCTTGATGGGCAGGTAGGTGGATGGATATGGATATAGATGTATAGTGGTTTATATGTATGCATGCATATATATATATATATATATATACAGATACCCACTTGTTTGGAAAAAAAGGATCATACATGCATGATGTTTTGAAATCTCATTTTTCCTTTAAATATATCATGGACATCTTCCAATGTCAACAAACACAAATCACATAAATCACTTTTAATGACTATATAACACTCCATTGTGTGCATGTCAGAGTAATTAATTTTTTAAGGACAGGTCCTAGAAATAGGAATCACTGGATCAAGGTGTGCATATAGCTAATTCTGAAATACATTGCTAGTTTTCCCTCTAGAAATTTTCTACCAACTTATAGTCTCAACAATAGTATATAAGAATTCATATTTCCCCACATTCCTTCCACATAATAATAGTTATATCATCTACTTAATCAACCAAATGTAGCTGGATAAAATCTTGAGATGCTGACTTTGGTTCCCCACCCTTTCTGCAATCACCGCTGCTACCACAGGTAACCCTCTCTATTTATTCAGAAACATAGCTTTCCTCAGGGTATCTGACAGAGCCAGATGCAGAGGGAAGAAGAGTCAAGATCTTGCTCTTTGAGTACCAACAGAGACTCTTGAAACACAGCAGCAGCAGCATTCTGAATTCCAGTGATCTGGAATTTCACACAGCAGGCTTTT